TGGTGGTGGTGGTGGTGGCCTAGTGCATCCTTCCTATGACATGCAGCTGTGGGTCTGGAGCACCCTCTCCATACATTCAGCTGTGGGTTCCAAGAATTCTCCCAGCCATACATCTGGGAATAAATGCATCCTTTCCATGCATACAGCTGGGCGTTTAGAACCTCCTACCTTTGTATGCAGCAGTAGCATAACCCACTCCCAGCATGCACCTGTGGCTTCCTTTATCCTCTTGGGAGCTGTACAGAGCAAAGATGCTTTCCGTTCAAGCTGTCTGTCCATTCCATCTTGCTTTTCCTTTTGTCTCTTTCTCCCTTGCCCAGGACACCTAGGTTACAAGTTCCAAAGTTCAGCCTTCTCCAGCCTTCTTCAGTTGTGAGAACCCCGGCCAGTGACAGTTCACTTCCAACTACCTGCTCTCAGATTCTGTGAGGTCTCGGCCCCTCTCTCTCTAGTTCCTCTGAGGCCCTAACATGTATATTCTGCACAAGGCTGGGTGTAATCACATATGTACCGTTTGTGAGCAGTGGGGTACAGTACAGTGGTGCACACAGCAGGCAGTCCTAACTCCCAGGGACCTGCATCAGGCTGAGGAAGGACACTCCCCTGCCTCTGCTTGCTCCAGAGCTGAAAGCAGGGGTAACAGTGAAGGCCTGTGTCATCAATGGCACAATGCACTTCAGAACGCACCCCTCTTCCCTTTCTTCCCCACCCTCCCCCAGTCTCTTCCTTATCTATCATCTGCTTGGAATTCCTCCCTCTAATCCCCCAAGTCTCCTTTTTAATTGCATATGTATGAGTGCTTTACCTGCATGTATGTCTGTGCATTGTGTACATGCCTGGTACCTCAGTAGGTCAGAGGAGAATGTCATCAGATCCCCGGAACTGGAGTTGTAGGTGGTTGAGAACCACCATGATGGTTACGGGAATCAAACCTGTGTCCTTTGCAAAAGCAACAAGTGCTCTTAACTACTGAGCCATCTCTTCAGCTCCCACTCAGGTCTCTGAAGGACTGCTCTTGACTCTTCTCAACCCCCTTCCCCAATTCCTGGACACCTCCACCTTGGTGCTCAGTTTAGAAGTTGGCTATCTTGGCTATGCAGGACTTTGTAGACAAGTCTTAGTCACCAGAACAGATTTCAAGCCTCGGAGGAGGACACGCGTGTCATGTCTGCTGCATTACTGCTGCTTAAGTTCCACTCTGGGATTCAGCATTGCTGTTTAGTTGCAGAACTCAACAGAGGATATCGCCAGATCCCAAATCTTTTGTCAGCGTAATTGAGCATACCATCTTTGCAGGTTTGTGCTTCAAAAGATGCACCATCTCCCCTCACTCATTTGTTCTATCTGAGCTGCTCTGAAACTTTTAACCTGCCCCATCCCTTGGAAGGAGTTTTGAGTTTTAGGCTGGTAATTTATGTTTATGCTGAGCGTGCGATTTCTTTTCTGCATCCAGAATGATTAATAGACTCCTCTCTGTAAATTAGTACGGGAGAGGACAGAAGGAAATTGCTAACCAAACCAAAGAATTTCTCTGTGTTCTAGTGACTCTGTCCACCTCTTTCTTATTCCTGGTTCTCAGATGCACCAATTCACCTGGACCTTGTGCCTTTAGCAGCAGGAAGGCTTGAGAAACAAGGATCAGCCAGCCACATTCACTCTTCAAGCTATGCCTTCTCCTGCACCCCAAAAGCTAAGAATGCCTTTCAAATCTTTTAAATGGTTGAAAGCTTTAAAAACAAAAAAAGAATAATATTTTATGACACGTGAAGATGATATGAAATTCAAATTTCCTGTCCCTAAATAAAGTTTTGTTGGAACACAGCCACACTCATTCATTTACGTATTGTCTAGCTGGCTTCGAGCTGTGCAGAAAGAGCAGAGTGGAAGCGACAGGGACCTTATGGCCCATGAAGCCTAAAATATTTACCATCAGGCCGCTGAAGAAAGTGTTTGCCCACACCTGCTTTAGGAGAAGAGCAAGGTTTGCTCGCTGCCTCTGGTGACTGTGGGCTTTGGAGCTGCCTTGGCCTGCACAGTGCAGCCCCCTCTACCGTACCTCCAGGAAATTTGCATGAATTGAGACCTTCTTCAGCCTGGACCTACACACAGGCGGAGCCCAGGGTTGTGTCAAGAACCAGTCATTGTGGTATGTTCTCCCCCAGGGCAGGAACATTTGTTCTGTGTGATGGATGGCCAATTGGGTCTAGGGCATCATTGAGATTTGTGTCAAGACAACCGAGAAAAAAGTAGGGCCCATTCGGCATACATCCGGGCATTCTGAGGAGGAACTGACTGCAAGCCCCTGGAGTCCACAGGGATGATAAGGGCTTCAGAACTAATAACGTGCTTTCAGCCCTGGGGAAAGCCATCCGTGTTGTCCCCAGCGCTCGTGTGTTTGGTTGGGTGCACGTATTTTGACTTCTATCTGAACTTTTCTGTCTAGTGTCTAGTTGTAGGGAGTCGAGTGTGTGTCCCTTATAATAGAGGCCCTGACTCTCACACACCTGCTGACCCATACTCACTGGCTGGCAACATCTGTCCCTGGTCCTAGGCAGACTTGGGGAAAACCTAGTCCTGGACCAGAAGCTAATTCCGTTAAACCCAACGAGTCTAGTTGCTTTCCCAAACTCTGCTGAACTGCTCATGCCTTCTCTGGGATGGGATGTCCAGAACTCCATGGCCATAGTAAGAAAGAGTCCACACCTGAGTTAACAGGATAGCCATTGGTCTCCAGCCCTACCATCCCATTCACCTCGTCCAGGGTTGGGACATGGGCTGGTGGCCTGGCCGAGGAGGCACGGTGATGGAATGGAGATCGTGAGGTGCATGGGGGTGATCCTGTCATTGCAGAGGCTCACCAGCTTCAGTACATCTCTGAGATGTTCTGAAGCTTGTGGTCCTCCTCAACAGGAGTCCTAAAAGCACTAGACTTCTCTTGGGTTTTGTAAAGAATAATCAATAGAAAACAGGCAAAGGACAAGGAACAAATACTGCTGCTGTTTGTTCCTGGTGTCTGTAAACGAGGATGCCTGGGTTGATAAAATGCCTCCAGGAACAGGGGCAACTTGGTACCACCTGAGCAACCATCCTTTTGGGTATGGATAAGGTCCACATCTTAACATCCTGCTGAAGCAGATGTGGCCATTATTCCAAGCCATTTGTAGGGAAATATGAAGCTGAGATTAGGGGTCTTGTCTCTGATCTCTCTGCTGCTGTAACAGTGGCACATTAGGTTCCTGGTCTAGGCATTTAAAGCAACATGAATTTCAGAAAGGGCATCTGGAAGAATGAAGAGCAGCCTGTCTTCTCTGGACATGCACGTCGCCCAGTAATGTTAACAGTCTGCTCTGTCTGCTTTTCCTACCTACCCATGTGCTGAAGGAGGTGACTCACTCCAGAGAGCTCTAGTCTGCAGTAGAGATGGTGACAGGACTCTTTGGGGGTGCCCTCCATGTTACAAACAACTCTGAGGTTTCACGGACAATTAAACTGGTCCAGAAAACAGCCTGTGGCTTCTGGGGGCTTAAAGGAACCAATGCATATGGACTCAATTTCCTGTGTGGCATGGATGTGTTTAAGCATAAAGGAAGAAGGTGCTTGGGATTTAGAGTGTTTGAATTCTGCAGTCCCCAGAATCATAGCTGGGGTCTCCTGTTGCCAGGACCCACAGTAGATTTTTTTGACAGCCCTGAGGACCTTCACCCAGCATAATGCCTCAACCTGGTTCTCTTATAGCAACATTCTGTTTACAAGCTAGACTGTAGGGTGACTCTCACTTGGACTTTCCTTTTGATTCATTCAAATGAAGCCATTGGGGATGGCTCTTAGTGATACTTTCTGACCACATGGGAGAGACAGGGGCACAGACTGGTCTTGGAGATACTCAAATATTTCAGCTGGATTCAGGAGAGAGCACAGTATGGAGAGATACAGGCATGGACTGGTATGGCCCTGCTCCACATCAGAGTAGAGAAAATCCTTCTTGTCAGTTCAAGAGAGATGGGACAAGGCAGGGGGACTGAGGGGTGTTGTCTAGGTGGGCAGTCCTTGGTGAAGCTCTCGAAGAGAAAACCTCCTTTCCTAAATCCAACCAGGCCTATTCTGCCAGGCAGCAGAACATGCCCCAGTCTTTTGTAGAAGACACTGGAAAGTATGTCTTCAAAAAGGTGATGATCAACTTCCTGTATCCACAGGACCAAGGAAGAAGCAGGGGCTTTTGGTAGACCAGCTGAACGGGTCACCAGACAATAGGGAAGAATTCAGATACCATTGTTGGGATCAGAATGAGTAGTCTAAAGACAGGAAAATCCAGAACAGTGACTCTCAGGCCAATGGCCAAGTTTGCCCTGGAGAAAACTCTGATTCTTGGAGGGTCCTGGAAGGTTGAGGAGTTCCACAGATTCACAGTCCCTCTAGCTCAGGTATGGGAAGTCTGGCTGGAATACTGTCTTCATTGTGAGTGTCTGGGAGGAATGAGAATCAGAGCTCTGTCGGGAGGGAGCAAAGGATGGGGCTGACCTTGGTCTCTGTTGATGAGGAAAGGAAGTGCCTCCACGTGACAGGAGAGATTTGTTTGCTCGGGAACTCATTTTCCTCAGCCTCAGGTAGAAAAATTAAGCCATCCATTTGCTCTGAATGAGCCTGAGTCCCCTCCCTGAGGTGTAGTGGTGTTTTCACTAAATTCCTGCTCCTGAGAAAACCCATTAAGGTAGTATTTGTTTTTCTGGCTATAACCAGGGAGGCAACTGGTAGTAATATTTGAAGAGAAGAAATCACTTTAAGGAAGTTTCAGATGCCTGGAGTGATGGTTGAAATCAGCAGGCAGGGTGGTCAGTGTCTGAGGTGGTAAATGATGTTTGAGGGTTCAGAAGGGGTGGTTAATTACCAGCTGGCAAAGCAGGTGATTTCCCACAGTCATGCCAACATCACATTTTCCTCAGACAAAATTCCACAAGGCTGCTCTTTCTACCTCATGTGACTTCTGTCTTCTTAGATGACCTTTTTGAGTGGAGGGAGATGAGACTAGCTTTGAAGACTAAAACAGTATGAACTCACTACTTCTAAACAGTCTAGGAGGGTTACTGGGATGAGGTAGAATGGGGTAGAGCCTGGATGGGCCTCATGAGAACTGAGGAGTATAGAGGAAATAGAGGGTGGGAGATGTGCTTATGAAGGCTGGGATGGTCCTCAGCCTTCCTCCAGGGCTGAGGCAGCAAGGGAGAAGGGATTCAGGAAGAGTCATGAAAGCCAAGTCTCTGGCTGAATGTTTCCATCTGCGGCTCTGATTGAATTATGGGGAACAAGGAGTTTGGAGAAGCTGTTGGCCAATCCCAACCATGCTGTGGCAAATGAGGCCCTTTGGCCTTTTGGAAAACCCATGCTTTATTAAAGCAAATTAAAAGTGATTGAGTCCTTCTGGTCCCTTCCCTCCTCTCCCCACTGTCTCAGAGGCAGCCCCACACTGCTTCCCATTGTTTTAGCTTCAGATAGCTTACACTGTTGAAGGCTAACCTGCAATTACCCTGCCTGCCAAAAGTGATGGCTGTCACTTAAGAGAAAACCCTGCCTGCTCGCCTTCTACAGGGCCTCTGGATCACGCCAGAGCATCTGTCTGCAATCTCTTCTACTTCAACACGAGCTTTGTTTGAGCCAGCCCAGTGGCAGAGAAATGACAGGGTTGCTGGTAGCCAGATGAGGTGGTGGGAGGGGCATGAGATTGGCTCTGAGGATGCTACACCCACCAGCAGAGTTAGTTCAGGGCATAGTTCCTGTTGCCACCAGGGAGAGCTCAAGTATGGTGTCTACTGCTTGAGCATCTCAGAGAAAAGCAAGCGGCTTGAGGGACCATTTTGTGACTCTATGCAAACAATGGAATCAGACCCAAGTCAGTGAACGAGGGTACAAGAACAAGCAGAGAGCCGAGTCTCCTTGCAACAATTTATGAGTTAACACATGCCCAGGGACTGCACAGGACTCTAGCCTGGCTCCACCAGAGAACCATATCCCTCTGCCTTTGATCAAAGTAGCTTTGCTTATGATTCCCAGTTATTATAACAGATACTTAGAAATAGTTCCCCCAAAATGTGAACTCATCACCTGAGCTCCAAGACCCCTAGAAAGGCCTCTGAAGGCCTGAAGTCATTCTCCTCGACCTGAAGTCTCCTTGGTTCTTGGAATGACAGGACAGTGGATCCAAACTCTCCCATAGCAACTGGGCAGAGCATCCCCAAAGTTGGGGCAGTAGTCTATAAAGGTGAGGCATGGGAACCAGGTGGTTCCTCTCAAGTGATGCCAGCTGTGACAACTTAGAGCTGCCTCTGGAACCATGCCCTCCTCAGGACTGCTTCGTTATGCAGACTCCTGGCCCCTTCCTCCAACTCTTCCTCTATTCAAATCTAAAGCTCACATCAGTGCTGCAAAGATGTACTTGGGTGTCACTGAACCCCTTTGTCTGTATTTCCCAATGTGGTTACATTGATTGAATCTCCTTTTCCTGCTTTTCTCCATTAATCATCTTTTTAATTGACATATTAGAATGTGCAGCTAAGCCATGTCTGGACTTAGATGTCCTACCCTCTAAAATCCCTACTTGATGACAGCATTCCTAGGAAGCACTCTGCTCCCAACCATCCGCAGTCAGTGGAACCAGATCTTCATTAGAATCAGAGAAATCCTAGAGGAAATTCTGAGTTATCTGGAAAACACACGGAGAGAAGGAGGCTGGAAGTGTGTGATGGATGTCTACCACGTATGCCAAGAGCCCTCAGACCACCTCTGCTTCGGTGGGTGACACAGAAGTGTACATTTCCTTACTCTCTGG